TTTCATGGTGACTATCATTATTAGTATTTTGTGAGTGATACAGAAAAACTTTGGTCCTTAAATAGACTGTCTGGTACAATGTGAGTAATTCAGACTATATCCCAGTATGGACTTGAATTTTTAATTGGCACATTAACCCTTCTACCTGAGGCATCATACTTAAAATTGTGGCCCCAAACAGGACCAACCAAATTTGTTGCTATCATTACATAACGTATTGACTAAAAAATGTATGGTACATTTCAGAAACATTTTGAAAATGAGGTGAAGTCACTTAAATATTTTCAATAACATTTTTTCAAATTTTTGGTGATTCAAAAAACTATAAATTCTGTAAAATATATAAAATAATTTCCATGGAGTTTTTCAAAACAATGCTGTTCAGGTATTTTACTTTTAACGCCTTCCCCAGACTGTCCTCACAAAGTTGGAAGCATAGAATTGTTCAAAATGTCTTGGTAGACTGAAGAATTCAGTTCCCTTCACTGGAACTAAGGGGCCTAGACCAACCCCTGAAAAACCCCAGTTGGCACAATGTAGTCAGGCAGGTAATGTTCCCTTGGCTTCTGCCAAACCCAGATGCGTCTATCAGACTGCCAGACAGAGAAGTGTGATTCGTCACTCCACAGAACACGTTTCCACTGTCCCAGAGTCCAGTGGTGGTGTGCTTTACACCACTCCATCCAATACTTAGCATTGTGCTTGAAGATGTGATACTTGCATGCAGCTCCTTGGCCATGGAAGCCCATTCCATGAAGCTCCTAGTGCACTGTTTTCGTGCTTCATCATGCCAGATGAAGTTTGGAACTATGCAGTTATTCAGTCAACAGTGTTGCCGACATTTAAGCACTATGTGCCTCAGCACTTGGCGACCCCGCTCTGTTACTTCTGCCACTTCATGGAATATCTAGCAAGGAAGGAAGAAATTTCACAAACTGACTTATTGCAAAGGTGGCATCCTATGATAGTACCATACTTGAATTCACTGAGCTCTTCAGAATGACCCGTTCTTTCACAAATGTTCGCAAACCTGACTGCATAGCTGGATGCTTGATTTCATAAATCTGCGGCAATGGGTATGAATGAAACAGCTGAATTCAATGATTGAGAGGTGTGTCCCGATAGGGGAGACCGCGGATAGTTGTAGCGTTTTTTTTTACATTTTTACATGTCTGCATGTGTGTGTGTATGTGGGTGTGCTTGTGTGGTCAAGGTATACATTACATTGTGGGGACCAAATGTCCACATAATGTGGTAAAAACGTATTTTGACATCGTGGGGACCATATTTTTGGTCCTGCAAATGATGAAATTCAATTTTACAAAAATCTAATACTGCAATCAAAAAACTAAAAATGCCACAAGATTGTATTTTGTTTGGTTACTTATGTTTAAGGTTAGGACTGGTTAGGGCAGGGGTGAGCAATCTTATCCGCAAAAGGCTGTTGTGTATGCAGGTTTTTGGGATAACCTGTAAGTCAGCTGTTCAAACACAGGTGTGAGGACTCTTCAGCCAATCAGTCCTCTAATTAGTAGTCTAATTAGGGAGTTGCAGAGAAAACCCGCATACACACCGGTAGAGATGCACCGATACCAATATTCAGATCGGTATCGGCGCCGATCCAGACCTGTTTGATGGATCGGGTATCAGCCATGCGTGACCGATCCACGTCCTATACTTACTTTTTGGCAATCAATCGCATGACAGCTGTTTTCCATTTTACATGTGTTTTTTTGTGGCATTCAAATCGAACGCTATCGCTGCCCCTCAGTCTTTTTCGCTACTCAGTGGGTGAGTACAGTGACTTCCGCCTGCTGTGACGTCATGCGCATACCCTTTGCAGTACGAGGAGCGTAAGATAAGACGTGATGATCTGCGAGTATTATACGTTTTTAACAGAAACCAGTAGCACAGCGATTTGCAATCTATGTAGTTTTGAGGTGGGAATAGCGTTTAATGGACAATCCCATTTAACAAAGAGCACGCAACTGCGAGACAAAACAAAGCAATGGATGATTTGGGAGTCGCCAACTTAATTGGACTGTTTTGCGAACTCGCTGCAGCTTGTGATACAGGAGGGGCTGCCATCGCAACGAAAGTAACTGCGCTGACGCCAATGGGAGAAAAACTGTGTTAAAATTTTAAGCATTTGCCACTTGTGTATACTCGCTTTGAAGATATTCATATTGAACTGCAAATGCCTCAAAAACGCTTAAAACAAATGAGGTGGAACAGTACGTGATGTATGTTTCTAATAGCCTAATTAAATACACTGCTCAAAAAAATTAAAGGAACACTTTTTAATCAGAGTATAGCATCGAGTCAATTTAACTTCTGGGATATTTATCTAGTCCGTTAAGTAGCAATGGGGGTTGTTAATCAGTTTCAGATGCTTTGGTGTTAACAACAGGTGCACTGGAGGAGCAACAATGAGACGACCCCCAAAACAGGAATGGTTTAACAGGTGGAGGCCACTGACATTTTTCCCTCCTCATCTTTTCTGACAGTTTTTTTCACTAGTTTTGCATTTGGCTACAGTCAGTGTCACTACTGGTAGCATGAGGTGATACATGGACCCTACAGAGGTTGCACAGGTAGTCCAACTGCTCCAGGATGGTGCATCAATATGTGCCATTGCCAGAAGGTTTACTGTGTTTCCCAGCCCAGTCTCAAGGCCATGGAGGACATTCCAGGAGATAGGCAGTTACTCTAGGAGAGATGGACAGGGCCGTAGAAGGTCCTTAACCCATAAGTAGGACCAGTATCTGCTTCTTTGTGCAAGGAGGAACAGGAGTGGCACTGCCAGAGCCCTACAGAATGACCTCCAGCAGGCCACTGGTGTGCATGTCTCTGTGCAAACAATCAGAAACAGACTTCATGAGGGTGGCCTGAGGGCCCGACGTCCTCTAGTGGGCCCTGTGTTCACTGCCCAGGACCGTGGAGCTCGATTGGCATTTGCCATAGAATACCAGAATTAGCAGGTCCACCACTGGCGCCCTGTGCTTTTCACAGATGAGAGCAGGTTCACCCTGAGCACATGTGACAGAAGTGAAAGGGTCTGGAGAAGCTGCGGAGAACATTATGCTGCCTGTAACATTGTTCAGCAAGACCATTTTGGTGGTGGGTCAGTGATGGTCTGGGGTAGCATATCCATGGAGGGACACACAGACCTCTACAGGCTAGACAACGACACCTTGACTGCCATTAGGTATCATGATGAAATCCTTGGACCCATTGTCAGACCCTACGCTGGTGCAGTGGGTCCTGGGTTCCTCCTGGTGCACGACAATGCCCGGCCACATGTGGCGAGAGTATGCAGGCAGTTCCTGGAGGATGAAGGAATTGATACCATTGACTGGCCCCCACGTTCGCATGACCTAAATCCAATGGAACACCTCTGGGACATTATGTTTTGGTCCATCCAACACCACCAGGTTGCACCTCAGACTGTCCAGGAGATCAGTGATGCCCTGGTCCAGATCTGGGAGGAGATCCCCCAGGACACCATCCGGCGTCTCATTAGGAGGATGCCCCGACATTATCAGGCATGCCTACAAGCACGTGGGGGCCATACAAACTACTGAGTACGATTTTGAGTTGATGCAATGAAATTTCGGCAAAATGGACCAGCCTACCGCATCATTTTTTCACTTTGATTTTTGGGGTGTCTTTGAATTCAGCCCTCTGTAGGTTTATCATTTTCATTTCCATCAAACGATGTGGCATCCTTTCGTTCCTAACACATTACCCAGTCCATATCAGTATAGATATACAGCATGATTTTTCCCCCATTGAGATCTGATGTGTTTTCGAAGCGTTCCTTTAATTTTTTTGAGCAGTGTATTTTTTGTCATACGTTTTTTCCATCTGTATTTACTAGCTTAAAAAAAATTAATATATAAAGTATAACAAAGTAAAAACAGCTCTTGTATCGGAATCGGTATCAGCAGTTGTGTATCGGAATCGGATCGGAATTGAAAAAATGTGGATCGCCCATCTCTACACACCGGCCCTTTGCGGATAAGATTGCCCAGCCCTGGGTTAAGGCTAGGTAGGGGCTAAGGTTGTTATTGTTAGGATTATGTTCTTGCCCATAGAAATGAATGTCTAAACAAAGATATGAATACAGGTGCGTGTGTGTGTGTGGGCGCACACAGTGGTGACAGGTATATTGAACTCCTCCTGGTGTACAGTCTTGATGGGCAACCTTGGACAGACTTTGCATTTCACCCAGTTTTCCTTAGACTTCTTCCATACACACAATACAGAAATTTCCAGGGCTTGAGAAGTGCCCTGGTGGGTAACTAGAGAACACAAATATCCCAGACACTGGTAGCTGTGAACAAGTTTACCTTGCAGCTAAGAGCAACAATATTAGCACTCAGCATTTGTATAAAAGATATTTACATAGGCACATAATAAAGGTGATTTAAGTTTGAGTAATATAAGTAGAACGCTCGCAGTGCTATCACGAAAAATACATGAAGTCAATAAATTGCTTTCTTACCTCAAATTTCTTTTTCCTTACAAATCTGAGTGTGTTTGTTACAGGGTGCTCCTTCTTCACATGTGAAATAAAGACTAAACTGAGCAGAGTGAGTTATGCGATTTGTACCTCTTTCCTAATTTGAGAAATAGACTGTTACAACTATCCCACATCACAATCATCCCCGCTCTCCCCTACTTTTGTACATATAGTGTAGCATTCATATAAAGTGTTACTGTAAGAAGTAATGTATTAATGGAAATACAATTTAAAAAACTATTAACGGGCTGAATTCTTTAGGGCAGTAATTAAACTTACCACCCTTGAGATGCAAGGCTACAGTGGCAGCCAATGTAATATAAAACCACTTAGAAAATACAAATGACAGAAGTAGTGCTAAGTATGAAACAATGCATTTGATATTAATGATGTTTTAAAAATTGCTTTTTGGTTTATTGATATATTGATTAACTGTAGTGATTCACTGTACAGATTAACTGCAGAAAAACATCTTACTGGATTGTTGCAGTAAATCCAGTTATTCTGTAATGAACCATTATTCTAGCCTCCACATCATTTACTAGAGAAATCAACTGTTCCCTCCTTCCACTAGCAAGAAACTGACATTGCCTCCATACCTCTCATTAAAATTCACAGAACGGCAACATAATGCTAGACCAGTGTTTTGTGGACGCTCTGGGGGTCACCGAGGACTGGGTTGGGAAACACTGAGCTAGACTGTTGAAGGTTGGTGAGCACATACCTGCTCCTGCTTTCAGTTTCAAGATTAAGTGAATATGTTTGACTTACAGTCAGATCAGTATTATTCAGTTGTTTGTTACCATGATCTATGGTGGTTTTTTTTTATTAAAAAGTTTAGCACCTTGGCTGAGTTCCTTTCAATGACGTGGGTGTGTATGTGTTGACCATGCGCCTCTAAGGTACCATGTGTTTATGCAGCCTGCCTGGGGTTTTTGGCTGCCTGCTACGTATAAAAGGGAGCTTCAGGGATAGCACGTCCCAGATAGAGCTGAGTGGCTCCTAATATCTGCATGAGAGACCTCATTTCTTCTTACTTTAACCAGTCCACAGATGACTCTCACTGGCACTGGCCATCGGTTTAAGGCACAGAATGTTGTCGTCATCTTTGCAGAAAGTTGTGTGATAGTGGCAAATGCACACATTCACCAAATGACTATGGGTAAGAATCTACAATGGATATCAAATGTTGAAGCACTTGTTAAGTTACCACTGTAGCTCGAACAAGTCTGCATTTCCATAGTTTAACAATATTAAGCAAAAGTATAAAAAAAAGCATTCAGTGCATTCAGGGGCACTGTAAATTTTGAACACAATTGGATTGGTCTGGGTTGGGGGCTCAATATGACATGCTATATCTTTAACAGGACCACTGAATGCATTGATGAATTTCATTTACTGACAATATGTGCCCAACTTAAGGAACTACCACCTTCCAGCTGTGTGAGTGTCAGGTATGATTAGTTTTCTAAAGATAATACATCATGTTCAAAATCAGCTAAAGGGTTTATTTCATTTTGCAGCTGATTTGATTAAAGTAGAGGAAGAGGTGGGTGAAGAGGGCCTGAGAATGAATTTAGGCAAAGAAGAAACAGCCCAAAATGAGGTGGAGATGTTGGAGACACCGGTGATTGGCAGTCCCAACAACGAACAAGGAGGAGGATTAAGGCCAGCTGCATTTCGATTACCCAATTGTGAGTCCATTATGAGTAACAGACAGTTGATTCTCATCTTTACCCTCCTTGAGTTTTATGGTATCACTTGAAATATTTCAGCCATTTACTATATCTTTAATAAATCAGGAATGAACAAATTTAAATTTATACTACTACAACATATTTTATGTAGCATGTATTTCCTCAGGAACATAGTTACAAATCCTAATGTATAATATTTTGCTGCTTTATGTGTGTCTTGTTTTTGTATGTAATGTGGAATCTCTTACATATTAGGGATTAAGGGAGTACAGTGAGTGCTTTTTATTGTGGAAAACAATGCCTCAGTTAACATATGTCACATGAATCTGTTCCTCATTATAAACTACATTTTACTCTGGGTAGTCCATTAGCATGTCTTTTCCTGTCATTAAGCAAAAACATGCATGACAATTCCTTAACTCTTAAACCAACCAGTTTGCCCTGAAATAACACATACTTTGACCTAATGTCAACTGAATTTAAAATAGGTGGAATTTAAAGATGTCCCAACCACTACATTATTATCTAGTATGACTAGCTAATTGAAGGTTGGCAAATAATTTCGGCTCAGCTGGAGACAAAAATATGTAATACTGAACCAGTGTTGGTCCTATTTTTCTTTACTGGTTTGCAAATTCTAGAATTGAAATATATTTAAAAATGAAATGAGACATTACTAAAAGTCCTGGTGATTGTATCGGCTTATTTTGCTTAAATGCTTATCTGTCATATATGGAAACTCCAACACTAAGTGTTGCTGGGTTTTTAGACACCCTTTACCCACAGCTCCGCCTCACGTTCCACATTGCATTGGAAACCTTGGGCCTGTCTGCTTTGTGGTAAGTTAGACCCTGCAAGCAGCCGCCAGCAGATTAAAAGACGAGGGTAAAGTGCATCTTTAGGGTGGATCTGAAACTTCTCCTCACCACGCTGCAAAGACAACGATTACCATCTGCAGCATATCTCACCATCTTAGGCATACAGTGTTTTGTTCTTGGGCTTGTCTGGCAGAACATTACGTTCCCTCATACTTCACGTTAAGTCCTTCACTGTATATCCACTAGAGACACAATGAAGGATCATACACAGACTTTGATAGGTAAAGTGTGTACTGCACAGATTTATTTCTCTCTCCAGTGTTCTCAAACTGCAGGATCAGTGGAGAACTCAATGTCTTGGTACACGTTCACTGTATGGGGGGACAGAGTGTGGTGTGATGTGTGGCTGCTACTGTGTACCTGCAGGTGACAGGCCCTTCCAGTGCAGCCAGTGTGGAGTTGCTTTCACGCAGAAAGGCAACCTCTTGCGGCATATCAAGCTGCACAGCGGGGAGAAGCCCTTCAAGTGCCCCTGCTGCAGCTACGCCTGCCGCCGCCGCGATGCACTGGCAGGCCACCTCCGCACACACTCCGGTGAGTCTCACAGTCGAGTAGTTGTTAACAAGCAATGTAGCAGTGAAGAAACTATATACAGTGAGTACTGCTGCCCAAGTACTTTTGTTGCATACTTTAAAGGAATGCTGGATTTGAACATTTCACCATTGATCATCACTATGTTATACATCAAAACCTCCCCAGTAGGTTGCATAGCTTTTTATCAATGTACTATGTATTGCATACTCATACAGTAATGACTCCCTAGCAGTCAGACTGAGTGCTTCATTCCTTGGCTGGTGTCTGCTTGGCCCACTTCATCTGCTGCCTTGGCCAGTTCGGGGAATTGCACCACTAGAAACCAAATTTAAATATGCAGTGATAAGCCTATAATGGCACGCAGGCTACTGTTCTCACTCTTTCTGTTGACCTTTTTTGTTCTCGGTTTCCTGTTACATCAGACCTCGTTCTATATATTCATATTTATTTCCATTTTGTCATCTTGGTTAAGAAATGTTTGTTTGCTGAATTTTACTGATTAAAATGGTTTTAAATAGAGCAGTTAACATAAAACTTGTAAATGATTTTTCTTTACTATAGTATGTTTTCATAATTGTTAATCTTTAAAAAAAAAAAAAATATCAAAAGCATTTTTAAACACAGAGAGCAGCACACTGCATATTTGGTCCTGAACTACATTAAGGAAAGTAAACTTTAATACATAGAAAAAAAACTCAGTACTCATCATCAGAAATAAAGTTGGAGAGAAATGGAGAGAGATTGACAATCCCATCGAAAATTTGTGGGATGACTTAAAGAGCTCAGTGCACCGAATATCCTCTGGCACTTTGTAGGAGCTAAAAACTCCATAGCCTAATTGTGGAAAATTGATAGAAAATCATCACTACTACTGTAGTTGTAAGGTCTCATTAACGAAAAATGTCTGATGACATGACATGATTTAACTTGGTTTCTGGCTTTACACTACAGAATATAATATTATAAAATATTTGCCCAATTGCATGTGGTGAAGTGTTGTTAACGGACTGTTAGTTATGGCACTTTGGTGCTATCACAAATGAACAAGAATGTGCAAAGACTTAAGTTTGGGTAAACTTTGGATTCTATAATGTAAATGGACACCTAGACCTGAGGACAGATATGCCCCCGAGGATAAGAACATTATTAAGAACTAGGGATGTAACGATACACTCAACTCACGATTCCATACAATTCACGATTTCATGTTCATGATACGATTTTCTCACGATTTAACAGAATGAGCTGCAGACAAATTTATTCAAAAATATTCCTTTATCTTTCTAAACTGTGCAAAACGTGTCCTCTTCTTAACAGTGCAACTGACATCGAATAAAATACTGTTTTAAAGAAATCCCAAATCAAAATAAGTAAATAAAAAAAAATCTTCAAATAAACAAACTAAGGCTTGCATGTGCAACTTTTTAGCGTGGTTTGCCCTTTTAATAATCTTCGCTCGGCTCACTGTGGTGCCGGTGGACATGCTGAAGCATGTTTATTGTGCTATTTGTGTATGTTATCAGTGTTTTACACAAAGTTTGCGTCTTGCCTGTGCTTTTGTGATTACCAGAAAGCTCAAATGCTTTAAGATTTAAGATCGGGCGGTGTGTCCATCCATCCATTTTCTGAAACCGCTTAATCCCAACTGAGGTTGTGGGGGGGACCGGAGCCTATCACGGAAACAATGGGACCAGAAGGGAACCAACCCCGGGCAATCGCCTACACACCACAAGGCACACACACTCACACAACTACAGGGCCAATTTAGACTCACCAATCAACCTATCCTGCACGCTTTTGGACCATGGGAGGAAATAGGAGTCCCTGGCGAAAACGGGGAGATCGTCCGAACTCCACACAGAAAGGACCTGGGACCGAAAGCAGGACCTTCTTGCTGTGAGGCAGCAGAACTAACCACTGCGCCACCGGGCCGCCCTCAATTTCAAATTTGCTCGCCATCTCTTTTTTTTAAATCGTCATACGTTTACATCGATTTTTAACCGATTCGCGATTCATTGTTATATGCCTATTAAGAACAGACTGCCATAAAGCCTATACTTTTAGAAAATTGAGTTAAATACAATGGTTCATAATAATGAACTGCTCATGAGAACATTGCGTGGCTTCTGCGTGGAATCAGTTCGATGCAATTATGGGAAAAAGGTATTTTTAAATTGTTTAATATTAAAACTGCGAACGCAATTAGGAACAGTTGTATACCAAAATAAGGCAATATGTTTGTCAAAATGTCTTAATAACAAAACTGAAGAGAAACCCATTTGCACACTAAAATAAATACATAAAATAAATAAAACATCAAAACTCAAACTGCATCATAACAATCATAATGAATAAAATCGAATGTAGGCAGTAGGGACGCATATCTGTAGCCATAAACAACCCCCCCCCCCTTTTTTTTTTTAGCTCAGTATGAATTTTCTGGCAAAAGTGCCACAAATTCACTCACAGATGCTGATTCTGCCTTGCTACAATCATACACATGATGATGTGGTCTCAAAAGAGTTAGCATGTTAGATGCGTTTCCAGCAACATATCCAGTTGTGGTATAACAGAGCTGACAGGTCGACAGTTCTGGTCTTAATAATTATGGAATGGTCTTTGAGCTATGTAACACTAACCATAACCATCTGTAACACTCAAAATTAGCATAATGTTTTCCGTGTTAAACATCTACTTGTGAATTTAGATTTCATTCGTGTCAAGAACTAATTTCATTACTTTCATTGTGCACAATGATGTAACCGAATGGCACATGATGAATGTGTACCATTACAACCCTTTAAATGTAGACATGAACTGCTGCAGCAAAAACTAAAAAAATTAATTGCGATACATATTAAATCAGCAAACAAGTATCGATATAATATTGAATTGGGATGTTTCTGCCGATTCTCACCACTAGTATGCAATGCAGTCAGCAGACAAAATGTTCTAATTTGCTGGATTTATGTGGTAGCTGTAACAAAATGGGTGCTAGGCAACAACAGGGTTTTTTTTTTTTTTTTTTTTTTTACCAATCTCACAATTTATATCACTATTTTATTCATCGAAGATTGCCTCACCATTAACACTCAAATTTCAAGCCACCCACTCCTCACAAATAATGAAACTATTTTTAGGGTTTCAGTCATGAAAAAAGTTGTAAACTACAACCAACTTGTATGTATCTAAATCATATGAAAACATGAGATATGTAATGTCATATATTGTAATGTAATATATGCTTAATTCAGATAAAAAAAAATATTATCCAACAATTTAACATAATTTCAGCCTAAAGCTGGAAAGTACCTGAAGTTCTAAAGTCAATTAGACCATCAGCCTGAAGATCCATGACATTTTTGAAGTAATAGTGAGAGTAACAGCTAGAAACACTCCTCCGCAGGCTGTCATGATAGTATGAGTAAATCACGTGAGGCTTTCACTAATGGGATGGACCCTTCACCTAGTTGCACATTCAACAGTTACCAAAACCTCACATGCAACACTTCCTAACTGTAATTTCACCTTCTGAACACAGTGAATATTGAAAAGCAGCTGCTATTAATATATAGAACAGGTGGTGGTACCTGTCGACTGTAACAACAGAGGATGCAGAATCTATTTTAAACAGCATCAACATTATATCTGGTGTACTAGACAATGGAGGCTGAGTGAAAACCAACAGACTGCAGCCCTGGAAATCCGGAGTTGTGCACTCTGTATCCCATCAAACAACTGATCTCTGTTAAACCCACCCACCCATTCTTCTTCCAGACAATTATTCAGCAAAGGTGGACATGGAGGAACCAAACACAGTTCATTCTGAGGGGATAGGGCTGGGTGATGTAAAGAATATACTGTAATCCCTTCACATTTGCGAGGGGAAATCCCAGTGAGAAGTTACCCAACACTGGGCAGTATGCTTTGCTCCAGGATGCCTTGTTAGTCTTGAGACTTCATTGTGCCCTGGACGGATTCAAGGTTCCCTGTGCCAAATGCAGCAAAGCAGCCCCAAAACAAAACCGAGCCCCTTCCACAGTAGGTATAGTGTTCTTATCTTTTAACGCTTCATTTTTCCTAATGTAAACATAGAACTGATGTGACTGGCCAAAAAGCTCAAATTTCTATTATATATATATACACTCACCTAAAGGATTACTAGGAACACCTGTTCAATTTCTCATTAATGCAATTATCTAATCAACCAATCACATGGCAGTTGCTTCAATGCATTTAGGGGTGTGGTC